TAGTTTGGTTTTTTGACTTTTGGCCGCTGTCGTCCCATAGTGCGGCGTCAGCAGCAATGTCAGGAGCAGCTATTTGTTATGTTGCCTTCATTATCTATCTCCCCTTTCATGTGAGGAAGTTCAGACGCAGATATGCACGCAATTTCAGGAACAGCTTTCTGCACACGCTCCTCTAACACATCAATGCGTGTAGATGTCTCCTTTAGTGTGGTTGTTAGCAACAATATCTCCTCATCAATACGTTTCGACAGCTTGTTTTCAACCTCAGTTACCGCTGAAACACAATGCCGACGAAAGGCGAATTTTTCGCTGCAAATGTTCGCTGTAAAAATTAAAACACACTGTTGTATATGAGAACCAAAGCAAACGACGACGTTCATCGACGACTGTTCGCAACTGTTATTTCTATCGTCGTCGCTGGCGGCAGCGGCAAAATACGATTCATTGTGGCCATATGCTAAATATTCTCAAGTTTTTAAATCGAAATTGAAAGATACTGTATTAGTTTTTGTTAAAAATTTATAATCTTATTGTTTGTAAAAATTTTAATTGTACCTTGTCATAGGCAGCTAATTTCGTTGTCGCCGTAGTTGTGTTTTACTGAGCAAAATTTTTGGGCGAAAGTTGCCGCCGTCGTCGCACTACTGTGCGAAAATTCGCCGTTCGTCCGTATTGTGTTTCAACGGTTAGTTTGGTTGAGACCCTCTCGATAAGCGGGCACAACTGTTCTGTCTGCTGATGACCTCTCTTCTCTAGCTCTTTAATTTTGTGATAAACAGCCATAAGAGTGATACTTTCGTCAAGCTTAACAGTTTTATTCGGTGGGGAACCTTTACTCGACCCACGTTTCAGCGACGAGGCAGCAGTAGGCGACATAGCAGAACAGACACAAACAAAAAATTTATTTAAATTTTACTTAAGCAAAAATTAATAATTGCAGGGCGCGCCACACTCAGTATTCACGAAACAGTATGGTTGATAAAATAAATTTTAACCACACAGATTATGCCGGAAATATAGGAAGGGTCAGAGCGATATGCAAACACGTCCGAACCGCGCAAAAAAATCTTGTAAATTTCGACTGGTATTTCCTGTTTTAAATCTTATATGAAAAAAGTGATAATGATGGTCTTTCTTCATATTTTTTAAAGCAATGCGTCTCATCCATCTGTGTCCCATTATGAATAATTTTTAATCTTTCTCTCTCATTAGGCATATTTATTGATCGTTGGAAGATTGCATCCATTACCCCAGTTTTTAAGTCTGCAGGTAGGAATGATGTCTCAAATTATAGGCCTATTTCCAAATTAACAGCATGCTCCAAACTTTTTGAAATAGTCGTCAAAGATAAGTTTTCTTTCGCTACTAAGAGCATATTAGAACCTCGTATCTTGTATTCTATCATTCTTGCTCGTCAGTATGGTTTTGTTCGCGGTCGCTCAACGGTTACTAATTTAGTGACTTTTTCGGAATATTGTGTCTCATCCTTCAAACGTGGGTCTCAGGTGTACACTATTTCTACAGACTTTTCCAAAGCCTTTGACAAAGTTTCCCATTCTATTTTGCGACGTAAGTTGGAAAGTCTTGGTTTTCACTCGGTATTTTTGTCCTGGTTGAAATCTTATCTTTCGAACCGATTGCTGTATGTTGAAATGAAGGTTTCAGATCTAACAGCTTTATTGCAACTTCCGGTGTACCACAAGGTAGTGTCCTTCGCCCTCTTTTATTTGTTTTATTCATAATCGATATTGGGAACTGTTAAATATTCCGAGTTCCTCCTCTACGCAGATGACCTTAAACTCTTAAAAAAATTACTTGTGTCTCTGATATACTTTATCTACAACATGATCTGGATAATCTTATTATTTGGAGTCCGGCAAATAAATTATCATTGAACATTAATAAATGCTACCATATGAACTTTTCTAGATCTTCAAACATCATCAGTCCGAATTATAGTATTTTAAACCATAAACTCACCTCAGTCAATGATTTTCTAGATCTGGTTGTTGTGTTTGACTCGAGCTTCACTTTTACAAATCATGTTAATTACGTTATCCCGAAGGCGTATAGCAACTTATCATTTCTGCGTAGATATGCTAAGGATTTTAAAGATCCTTATACCAGGAAAACTCTTCAATGCGCTGGTACGTTCTAAATTAGAGTATGCCTCTATAATATGGAATCCAATATATAGCTGTTATGC